AAACTACAATTTGTAGGCGGCAGAGAAATTGTTTTTACTTCTTTTTGTTTCTCTTTGTTTTTGTGTTATTATCCCCAAACCCAGCAAAAAAAACCCTAAAGACTACAAATTTCTTCAAGTTTTTGTTCATCGGAAGTTTTCAGTTAAAGAAAGAGTTGATTTTGTATTGTAAAGTTTCTCTCTTTTTGTTTGATTCTCTTTGATTTGAGTCTTATCGGAGACTTATTCTTCAATTTCAGCTCTGGGTAAGTTATAAGATTGTTTCTTTACTAGTAATCTCTGTTTTTCTCAATTAGGGTTTGATCAAGCTTCGTTTTCTTGTTCTGGGTTGTTCTTAACTTTGTGTTTGTGACTGTTTCTGATTTTGGGTTTTTGTTGTTTTGTTTTAAGGTGGTGAGTTCGAAATGGAGTAGATTTGCTTAATTTGGATCTGTAAATTAACAGAGACAGTGTTGGTTGGTTCTAGAATGTTCGACACGGAATCTCATCACCCAGATTCAGCTCTTTTCGTGGAACTTACGACTCTGAAGCTTATCATTGTTCAGAAAGAAGACGTTTCTTCAACTTCATTGTGTATTGGAGATATCTTTGCTCCTACACAGAGCTGAGTTTTATAACATCGTCAGTTTTGTTCTTGCTTTTGTTGTTTGTGAAGTTGTGAATTGTAAGAGTATGGTACCATCAGAGCCGCCTAATCCTGTTGGTAGTGGCGAAAACGTTCCGCCTTCGATTTTAGGAGGACAAGGAGGAGCTCCTCTTCCTTCTCAACCTGCATTTCCTTCACTTGTTTCTCCGCGTACTCAGTTTGGTAACAACATGAATATGAGTATGCTTGGGAATGCCCCAAACATATCTTCGCTTCTCAATAATCAGTCTTTTGTAAATGGTATTCCCGGTTCTATGATTTCTATGGATACAAGTGGTGCTGAGTCAGACCCGCTGTCTAATGTTGGGTTTAGTGGTTTGTCTTCTTTTAATGCGTCGAGTATGGTGTCCCCGCGCTCATCAGGTCAATTACAGGGTCAGCAATTCTCGAATGTTTCGTCTAATCATTTGTTGGCAGAGCAACAACGGAATAAGAAGTTGGAGCCTCAGAATTTTCAACATGGTCAGCAGCAGCAGCAGTTTTCAACAGTGCGTGGAGGCGGGTTAGCAGGTGTGGGACCTGTCAAGATGGAACCTGGTCAGGTTTCGAACGATCAGCAGCATGGTCAAGTACAACAGCAGCAACAGAAAATGTTAAGAAACCTAGGATCAGTAAAGTTGGAACCGCAGCAACTTCAGGCCATGAGAAACTTGTCCCAAGTGAAAATGGAACCTCAACATTCAGAGCAGTCATTGTTTCTCCAACAGCAGCAGAGGCAACAACAGCAACAACAACAGCAGCAATTTCTTCAAATGCCAGGGCAATCTCCGCAGGCTCAAATGAACATATTTCACCAGCAGAGACTTATGCAACTTCAACAACAGCAACTTCTGAAATCAATGCCTCAACAGCGTCCTCAATTACCACAGCAGTTCCAACAGCAGAGTTTACCTCTGAGGCCACCTCTGAAACCAGTGTATGAACCTGGCATGGGTGCTCAGCGTCTTACACAGTATATGTACAGACAACAACATAGGCCTGAAGTAAGCTTCTTACCATAAATTAACTTTTATCAGCCAAATGCTTTTCTTCAGAATTGACATTTGCGCTTGCTACTAAATGCAGGACAATAACATCGAGTTCTGGAGAAAATTTGTAGCTGAGTACTTTGCTCCTAATGCCAAAAAGAGATGGTGCGTTTCTATGTATGGCAGTGGCCGGCAAACAACAGGCGTTTTCCCTCAGGTTTAGTGCTCAATGAACTTGTCTTGTTTGTAATACAATTGTAAAAGAGCTTGTGTTTTGCACCTGAGCCAGTTGTTTTGAATAAATTAGGTACTTGTTTCATGTTATACCTCTTTACATGGGTGTTTTTATTCACAAACATTGCAGGATGTGTGGCACTGTGAGATATGTAACCGAAAGCCTGGACGTGGTTTTGGTATGTTATTTAGATGATCAGTGCTTGTGCTGAAAATTCATTTTTGGATATATAGCAATTTTCTGTAGATCTTATGGAATATTCCTTGCTCACTCATCCTTTGCCTGCTTTGTCTCTTTCATTGTTTAGAGGCGACCGCTGAAGTCCTCCCGCGGCTTTTCAAGATTAAGTATGAGAGTGGCACTCTAGAGGAGCTGCTATATGTTGATATGCCAAGGGAATCCCAGAATTCCTCGGGACAAATTGTTTTGGAGTACGCCAAAGCAACACAAGAGAGTGTGTTTGAGCATCTTCGAGTTGTTCGTGATGGCCAGCTTCGAATAGTCTTCTCTCCAGATCTTAAGGTTCTTCAAGCTACTCTCTCTCTCTCAAAGCAAATTATTATACCATTATTCTCTCCAAGCCCTTTATTCTTGTAAGTTCCTTCTCAGATATTCTCCTGGGAATTTTGTGCTCGGCGGCATGAAGAGCTTATTCCACGAAGGCTTTTGATACCGCAGGTAACTTCCGGAAAGATTAACCATCTTTCCTGCATCTTATGGGTTTATGTTTTTAACAAATTGATAAACCTAGTCTGTAAAGAGGCCTATGTTGTTTTCGGTACATTGTGATAGGAAGTTATTGATCTGACAGATTTTGGAGATGTTACCATTCCTTTTGTCACAAAATTGAATATGTTGTCTTAATATTATTATAGTCTGCTTTTGTTTGCAAAATCATCTCTTTAACTTTCCTTTTTCGTGGTTCCCAAATTTCAATACGAGTAATATATTATCAGTGAAAACAGCTTAGGTAATTAGCTATTTCTGTATTCACATACAGGTTAGTCAGCTTGGATCGGCAGCTCAGAAATATCAGCAAGCCGCTCAAAATGCAACAACAGATTCTGCTCTTCCCGAGTTACAAAATAATTGCAACATGTAAACTCCCTCTCTTTCCCTGTGAAATTGATGTAACAAATTCTGTTATTCGACTTTTGATTGGTGATCTCTGATGTGCTGCCACTGTTCTGCAGGTTTGTTGCGTCTGCTAGACAATTGGCAAAAGCTCTGGAAGTACCACTTGTGAATGATTTGGGATACACAAAGAGATATGTTCGGTGTTTGCAGGTAAATGAAGAATGTCTCAATATGGATCAAGTGAACTCTACAATTTTGCATAAAACTTAAGAGACTTGCAATCAATGAAAGTTCATAATGAAATAAACTAAATCAACCTTTGTAGTAACTCTGTCCCTGTGACCATGTTTGCCAATGCACATTGATCTTTTTGGGATATTGTAGATCTCGGAGGTGGTAAATAGTATGAAGGACTTGATAGATTATAGCAGAGAAACAAGAACAGGACCAATCGGTAAGTTAACATGACCACCTTTCAATGCAATTGGTATATTTTTCATCTATTATTTTCCTTCATGTATTCTATCATCTTTTTATTTCAGATATTCCTTACGAATTATAGTAAATATTTCTTTGTTCTCCTGTGATTTGACTGATAGATATCTCTTTTCTTTCTTTGGTACAGAGAGTTTAGCCAAGTTTCCTCGGAGAACAGGCCCTTCATCTGCACTGCCCGGTCCTTCTCCTCAGCAAGCCAGCGACCAGCTAAGGCAGCAGCAGCAGCAACAACAACAGCAGCAACAACAGCAGCAGCAGCAGCAAACAGTTTCCCAGAATACAAACAACGATCAAAGTAGTAGGCAAGTTGCACTAATGCAGGGTAATCCCAGCAATGGTGTAAATTATGCGTTTAATGCGGCCTCTGCATCCACCTCCACCAGCAGCATCGCAGGGCTCATCCACCAGAATTCAATGAAGGCAAGACATCAGAATGCTGCTTACAATCCTCCAAACAGCCCCTATGGAGGAAACTCTGTTCAGATGCAATCACCTAGTTCCTCGGGTACCATGGTGCCATCATCGCAGCAACAACACAACTTGCCAACATTTCAGTCTCCAACATCCTCATCTAATAACAATAATCCCTCTCAAAACGGGATACCATCTGTTACTCACATGGGTTCCACAAACTCACCAGCAATGCAACAGGCGGGTGAGGTTGATGGAAACGAGTCTAGCTCGGTGCAGAAGATATTGAATGAAATCCTGATGAACAACCAAGCTCATAATAGCTCAGGAGGAAGCATGGTTGGGCATGGGTCTTTCGGGAATGATGGGAAGGGTCAAGCTAATGTAAATAGTTCTGGTGTTTTGCTGATAAATGGCCAAGTGAACAACAACAACCCAAGTATTGGAGGTGCTGGTGGGTTTGGTGGTGGGATGGGTCAGTCCATGGTAGCTAACGGAATCAATAATTTAAACGGTAACAATGGTCTCATGAATGGAAGAGTTGGGATGATGGTGCGGGATCCAAACAGTCAACAGGATCTGGGAAACCAACTCTTAGGGGCAGTGAATGGTTTTAACAATTTTCAAGATTGGAACGCGTGAAATGAAGATGAAGAAGAAGAAAAGACTTTGAACGGGTAATGTTTTGCTTGCGCAGCATCAAACAAGTCAAAACTCAGGATAAGGATAGGCCAATAAGCCGTGATATTGTGCTTAAGAAAGGAAAGAGTCAAATCTTGTACCAATAACTGGTTTCTGGGTCACCTCCACAATCACCATACCATCTCTTGAGTTACTTGTTTCCTTTTTATTTTGGGGAGTTTTTCTTATGCTTTATAGTTTATAATGTACATCTTTCTATGGGTGTGTTCCTTAGGGCACATCATCAGGGAGGCAATGAATCAAGCTCTATCCTTCATTTATCTCTCGTCTCTTCCATGTGTTAACCAAACTTTCCTAAATTCTGACCACAACGTTGAATACATAATGCCTTTTTGAAACGAAAAAGTGCAATGCTTATGTACGATGTCTATGGTTGGTCATTATTATTAGTGCAATAATGCTTATGTATGATGTCAATTGTTGGTAACAGTTATTAATCAAATACCAAAAATCAAAAATATCTCTTAAACACAAGATTTTACTCTTAAAGTTTTTGTAAAATGTCATTCCACAACTTTGGTGTATTCATACTCACATATGACTACGAGTTTCAACATTGAACAAAAGTTCTGTGTAATCTCAGAAAGAGTAGTCTTTCAAATCTGCTCTAGAGTCGTCCATGTCAATCTCAGACATGCATTCTTCAGCACTAAGAGGAGGGAGTTTACGAGTCTTACGCTTAAGGTTGTGTTTGTGCCAATCACTCTTACAGTGTTCTCTATATTCCTTAGCCTCCCCAACAAACGTGTTGCAAGTGCTGCACTTGGTCCCCTTCTTTTCTTCTCCACCTTCTTGCTTTATGTTATCGGTAGTACTTATCTCTTGCTTCTGTAATTTCTTGCTAAGTTCGATGACGGGATCGGTCAAATCCTTAGTTTCAGTATCAGCAGGTAACAACGGCTTGTGGGTCTGCAATGCCATATCATCATGCTCATCGTAATGATCCATGTTTGTGTCACCTTCTGCATGAACTGATACAGCGAGAATTTCTAGTCTCCCCTGCATATTTCTCACATGAGAATCACACTCTCGGAATAGGCCTGGTTCCATCTCGCAAACCTGCACAAAAATGTATCACCACAATCAGAGAGGATGATAGAAGAAAAGAAGTTCAAAATGTTTGAAGATATAGATCATTACAGTGGACATCTGTGTTCCAGATTCGTCTTTGGAGACAACACTAGCGTCCCATTCTTTTAGCTTCTCCAGTAGCAAGGGGAAGTTTTGAACAGGAACAGTGAGGCGCAGTCTCATCGGAGAACGCTTTATAGGGAACTGCTTTTGCAGCTCACGGATGACATCAAGTGCCTGCATATTTTAATAATCGAAATGAAGCCTCAACATAAGCTTTTCATAGAAAGCGCAGAAGTCACTTTGCTTCTACATTAACCTAAACGACTCACCTGCTTCTTGGAATTGCTATGAGGATCCACCGCGAAATGAATTTCATGCATTAGGCGCTCCACCATGCCGATGGTATAAGGGCGTTGGGTTTCAGGGTTGATGGTTTTCTGCATAACAATCGTTGCAATATCCCGAAACTGACTTGAGAACTGTGATTCTCTCTCTTTTCCAGCAACTTGAAGCTCTCCTTTCTCCAAAATCTGAACATGAGAGTTGAAAATGAAACATATAAGACATATTTTAAGGAGTCAGAACCTCAACCATCCAAGAAATCAAACAAGCCATAACATACATCGATGCATATTTTCGTATGATCATCTGATCCAAACGCCTTCATCAAGTCTTTAGATTTGGCAAGAACTCCTTTCGAAACATTTGAATAAACAGTATGTGACTGAAGCACTTCATCTATATCCTTCTCCCTGCATGAACATTTTGACTCAAATCTCATTACTTTTCCTAGAGGTCAATCACAGCCAAAATATAGAGAGGTTCTAACACAAAATTCTCCATAACAGATGGTATTGAACTACAGACATCAAATGACAATCGCAAACCTAAAACATAAATCTGGGAGCTAATACTCGTTTCCCTTCAGATTAAGTCAAACACAACAAATTCATCATCCTATACCATTTCCCTACCGAGATACACAACTAAGATAGGCTTAAAACCTCAACATCAGAATCGAATTCGCCAAATTCGGAAAGAAATCAACATAAGACCAGTGAAGAACAACACAAACAACGACTGATGATGCGATTATACTTGTTTCCTTCAGATTAGGTCATTGTCACACTAAATTCATCACTATACCACTTCCTAACATTACTTACAGAGATAAACAACTAAACTAGCCTTAAGACCTCCACATCAGAATCAAATCACCAAATTCGGAAAAATCAACACAAGACCAATCAAGAACAACGTAAACAAAGATTGATGATGCAATTATTCTCGTTTTCCTACAAATTAGGTCAAACACATGATCCATTTCATCACTACACCACTTCCGTACATTTTTTAACAGTGATAAACAACCAAAAATCAGAATCGAAATAACCAAATTCAACAAAATCAAACCGCGAGAAAGATAGATTGATGCGATTACAGTGTAGAAAAAGCAAAGAATATCGAAGCTTACACGCCAGACCGCCATGAAAGGACCTTATTCTTGTAACAAGCGATCTCGAAGCGATTGCCTTGCTTTTTGAGACGAACCACTGCAACATTCGTCAACCTCTTTTGCCCTACCGGTTGCACCAGCGTCTTCGACATTCTTCTCTCTCGCTCGTAGCTTTGTGAATTTGGGTTTCCCTCTCGCCGCCACTAATTTTGGGATATTTATTTGTTGAAATTGTAAAAGTGATAGGTCTTCACTTTTTTATTAAGGGGGTGTTATTCACTCATGGAGTTAAAGTCAATTCTTAAAGGTTTAGATTTGATTTCTGCTATTGTTTTTAACAATTTGTTTGTGTGGAGTTCAAAATCTCTGCAGTATATCCCGGATTATGATTCTAATGATTTACTCATGAAACTCCAAAGATGTTTCATTTCAAATGATTTGATATACAAATATTTTACAAGTCTTTTAGTTTTGAATAACACTGGATTTTAATGAAGCATTTTAAATCTTAGTTGAATAACACCAAACTTTAAAATCTATTAGAGTTAGATTTAAAATCATTAGGTTAATAACACTGGATTAGTGTTGGATTTCAATTCTATTAAAATCCATCATTGAATAACACCACCTAAGTTCGTGGTTAAATGTGAAGAATATAAAAAGTTATTGGCGGTTAGGAAAACCGGACCAGACATCGTTAATGGGTTGCTCTGATCCGACTTGTCCAACCGGTCAGACCGGGTTTTCGAATTTTATAGTAGTGTTTTAACCTTCAGCCAACTGGTTAACATAACGAACGATATGTCCTTCTAAACAACTCGCATGTCTACAAAATCAATTTTTAACCATCCAACCATTAAAATTGATTTTGTAGACATTTTGACATGATACTCGCATTAACCGACCCGTTCTCATGTCTACAAAATCAATTTTTGTTAATTCCACACGTGAGATCATGTCAAAATGTTGGTGAGTCTCAATTCTTATCATTGGTGAGATTTCCTTAGATTCTTTTTTTTGGTAAGTAGATTTCCGTAGATTCTGAATGATTAAGTTAATCAAACAATCTTAGTTGGTGCGTCGAGAGGAAACCCGGGCTTAGCAGCGGCTGGTGGGGTACTCCGAGATGAGACAGGGAAATGGTGTGGAGGATTTGCTTTAAATATTGGAGTTTGCTCGGTGCCTCTGGCAGAATTATGGGGAGTCTACTACGGGTTGTATATTGCATGGGAGCGCCGAGTCACGAGGGAGGAGCTTGAATTGGATTCAGAGATGGTGTTTGGTTTTTTTAAGACAGGGATAAGTGAGTATCATCCGCTGTCGTTCCTGGTACGCTTGTGCCATGGCTTTATCTCAAGGGACTGGATAGTCCGGATTACCCATGTGTATAGGGAGGGTAACCGTCTTGCCGACGAGTTAGCAAACTATGCGTTTTCTGTAGAATTGGATACCGAACTGAATTGCTTTATTCATTGATCATACAACAGCTTATATACACATAGCTTTAGGTTAACTCTAGGGTTTACACAAACCGTCATAAACAAGTAACGACCAAAGCCCAATACATCTTAAAACCCATACATATGGCCCAATACTCCCCCTCACGTTGGAGCATGAGGATCGTAAATGCCCAACTTGGACATGATGGTGAGAAATGGAACACGACCAAGAGCTTTTGTTAATATATCCGCGAGTTGATCCGTAGTACTAACATGAAGTGTTTCAATGGTTCCATCAGCGACTGCGTCACGCACTGCATGACAATCATTCTCAATATGTTTTGTGCGCTCGTGAAAAACAGGATTTGCAGCAATATGAATAGCAGCTTTACTGTCGCAGAAGAAACGTGTTGGAGAACTCTGTTCGATGCCCAACTCTTGCAACAACCGACGAAGCCACTTGACTTCGCGAAGCCCTGCCGCCATGGCTCGATACTCAGCTTCAGCTGAAGAGAAAGAAACGGTGTCTTGTTTCTTTGTCTTCCAAGAAATGGGAGAACCACCGAGCATGACAACAAAGGCACTGATCGACCGTCGAGTGATCGGACAAGAAGACCAGTCCGAATCACAATAAATGGTGAGTGTTAGATCTGAATCAGATTTAAGAAGAATACCCTGCCCCGAAGATCCTCTTAGAAAACCAACAACACGAAGAGCTGCAACCCAATGCGCTTCACGAGGCTGCTGCATAAATTGAGACAAAACATGAACTGAATAACTCAACTCTGGTCGCGTATGCATGAGATAAATTAGGCGTCCCACTAAGCGACGATACTTCTTCGGGTTAGTGAGAAGAGGACCATCATCTGTGGCGAGACGATGATTTTGTTCCAAGGGCGTAGCTGCTGGTTTAGGGTCAAGGTCACCATAATCGGAAATAATATCCATAGCATACTTGCGTTGAGATAAAAATATTCCATCAGAACCACGACTCACTTCAATACCAAGAAAATACTTAAGCTTGCCCAAATCCTTCATTGCAAAACAACGAGACAAGTAATCCTTGAATTTTTGAAGCATGTATTCATGATTACCACATATAATGAGATCGTCGACGTAGACCAACACACGAAGCTCAATATCTCCACGAGTGTAAGAGAAAAGAGAATAGTCATCGTAGGATTGAACAAATCCAAAGCGAAGCAATGAGTCAGATAACTTTTTGAACCAACAACGAGGTGCTTGTTTAAGCCCATATAACGACTTTTTAAGACGACAAACTTTGTCAGGATGAGAGTGACGATAACCAGGAGGTAGTTACATGTAGACATCTTCTTCTAAATCTCCATGAAGAAAAGCGTTATTGACATCCATTTGATACACTTCCCATTGCTTGGCAGCTACTAGCCGAAGAACAGACCGAACAGTAGTCATCTTTATAACCGGTGCAAACGTCTCATGATAATCTTCTCCTTCAACTTGCTTATTACCAAGAACCACAAGACGAGCTTTGTATCTCTCCAATGTGCCATCAGCATTATATTTTATCTTGTATACCCATTGACTTCCAATAGCTAATTTATTTGGTGGCAAGGTAACAATGTCCCATGTATCTTTTTCTTCAAGGGCCACAACTTCTTTATTCATTGCGTCATTCCACACTTTGATCCGGACTGCCTCTTTAAAATGTTTAGGTTCAACGGCCTTTGTAATCATAGCTAAGAAAGCTCGATGTCCTGGAGAAAATTGTTCATCGGATATAAAATCTGTTAACGAGTCAAGAGACGTACCTTGGACCGTATACAAGGACTGTGGTGACGGAGCGAGAGGAGCGTGATGGGTTTCTTGAGTTGGCGGGACAACATAATGAACGTAATCAATTAAGCGCACATTTTCCTGTCGTTCTCTTGGACTACGACGTACTGGAGCCTGCGCGGGAGGCAAAGTGACAGGAACAACAACCGGAGGTGCAACATTAACAGTGCCATTTGACGGTAATGACGGAGACGCCTGGTTGGGAGAGACTACAGCTGCATCGTTGGTTTCCAAACTCCCCCTTGCTGGAGTAGGCGACAGATTAAGCCGATCTCCATCGGGAATAAGAGAGATAGTCGGAGCAGGAGCAGACGAGCCATTGCGATCAGCATATGGAAACATATTCTCTTGAAAAATAACATCACGAGATACCAAAAAATCATTCTTTTCGATATCATACACTTTCCATCCTTTCTTTCCCAGGGCATAACCAACAAATATACAAAGACGACTGCGCTCTCCAAATTTGTCTTTATCGCGAGATAAACGGTGAATATAACAAGCAGATCCAAACACACGCAATTGATCATACGCCGGCTTGCAACCGTGAAGAATCTCGTAAGGAGACAGCCCATTGTGTATTGACGATGGCGTGCGATTAATTAAATAAGCTGCAGTGAGAACCGCTTCACCCCAAAACTTTATTGGTAAACTGGCTTGAAATAACAAAGCCCGGGCGACATTGAGAATATGCTGGTGCTTGCGTTCTACTCTCCCATTTTGTTGTGGAGTGGCCACACATGAAGTTTGATGAAGAATACCGTTTTGACGAAAATGAGAAGAAAGACACATAAATTCTGTCCCATTATCGCTGCGCACCGTTTTCACTGTTTTACCAAACTGTTTTTCTGCATATGCTAAAAAATTCATCAACAAGCCACGGACCTCTGATTTTTCCAGCATGAGAAATGTCCAAACTGCTCTCGAGAAATCATCAACAATAGTCAAAAAATAAACTGCACCACATGAAGAAGGAACACGGTATGGTCCCCAAACATCCAATGAATCAATGAAAAACACTCGTTTGCTTTATTGAAACTGTCATGAAAAACTTCTCTAGTTTGCTTAGCTCTAAAACACACGTCACAAGGACTAGAACTAGCAACTTTAGAGGAACTAGAAAACATAGGTAAAGATGAAATCACGGAAAACGAAGGATGTCCAAGTCGCCGATGCCACAACGCGTCATCAAGATTAGCATTCACACTGTGTATCTTTGCTGAAACAACCTCTTTCAAGTAGTAAACCCCATCACGCTCTTCACCGCTTCCAATCAAAGTCCTCGAAGAACGGTCCTGCAAAACGCAAAGTGTATCAGTAAACATCGCGACACACTTGGTTTGTTTCAAAATTTTTGAAACAGAAATCAAGGTGCAATTTAAACTTGGCACATATAGAACATTGGTCAGAGAAATTGTGCTTGACAAACACAAAGCAAACGTATTACTCCCGTCTGCAAAACCAACAGAACATGGAGAAAGCTTTTCTATTTGCCGAAGAAAAGAAAGATTTCCCGTCATGTGATGGGAAGCTCATGTGTCAAGAATAACATTACCAAGATCTTTCTTACCAGACAATTTTTCAACACCACCGGTGCCTTGTTTTTCATTGTTTGCTTTCTCATTAATCAACTGCTGCAACATCTTCAATTGGTCTGGCGAAAAATCAGAAAACACGAACTGGTTCGAGGTCGTTGCGTGAGCTGTGGTGACTTGCCCTCGACCTCGTCCATTGCCGCGTCCTCTCTGCCCACGCCCAGCACCTCTTCCTTGTCCACGCTCAGCCCACCAATCAGGAAAACCGATAATTTGCCAGCAATCTCGCTTCTCATGACCAGACCGTCCGCAATGAGAACACAACATTGTTCTGTTGTTGGACCTCAAAATCGAATCAGTCTTGTTGCCAACTGGATTGTCTGATTTTCCCAAGTAAGCTACTGGTTCTGTACTTGGATCTCCAGATGATTCCCGACGAGTCACAAAACCAACAGCATCACGTGTCTGTTCACGAGCTCGAGCAGAGGAGAGCCTTTGTTCTTCTCTTATAACTTTGGAATACGCTTCACCAAGAGAAGGTAATGGAGTCATGCCTGTCAGATTCGTACATAGACCACCAAAACGAGCATCGTCAAGACCCAACAAGAACTGATGTACCTTCTCTTTCTCCCTGTCCTTAGCATACACGGACTGTGCTCCACATGAGCATACGGGAAGAGGACAATACACACGCAGTTCATCCCAGAGAGTACACAACCTGCCATAATAATCCAAGACGGACTGCCCATCTTGTCGACATGAAGCAAGCTCCCCCTTAATCTGATGAACACGAACTTCGTTTCCCACAGAGAAACGCTCCTTCAAATCTTCCCACAATTGATGAGCGTTTGAGACAAAAGTCACTGTTGACTTAACTTTTGGCTCAATTGAAGAACGGATCCAGCCCACAATCATGGAGTTTACTGACTTCCAATTTTCAAAATTTGGATCACCAACTGGCGGTTGCACAATAGAGCCATTGATGAACCCTAACTTTCGTTTTGCTTGTAGTGCGTTCAACATCTCCTCAGACCACTCGTTGTAATTTTCTCCATTCAACGTAACAGAAGAGATCGACGTTCCCGGATTATCGTTACTCGACAACAGATACGGAGACACCACCACTGCTGCCTGATTTGTAGTAGCGACCTCGCTACCGGAACTTCATGTGGAGTCTTCTGGTCCTGCCATCACGTTTTTCTTCACAAGAAACTGTCGAAACTATCGACGAAAGAAAACAGGGACAGAGACTAAAGAAGAAAAGAAAAACAGAGTATCGAAACTTTCGATTTTAAGGTGAACAATTTAGAAAGGTCTAAGCTCTGATACCATGTAGAATTGGATACCGAACTGAATTGCTTTATTCATTGATCATACAACAGCTTATATACACATAGCTTTAGGTTAACTCTAGGGTTTACACAAACCGTCATAAACAAGTAACGACCAAAGCCCAATACATCTTAAAACCCATACATATGGCCCAATATTTTCACTACCGTTAGGCTTTTGTTTTTTTGAATTTGTACCGGATTCGGTTAATTCTATTTTGTTGGAGGATACCGGTGGAACTGCGTTTCCACGACGGCTCCGTTTGTAATTTTTTATTTTAATTTAATTTAATAAAGTACGGGGGACAATGTCCCCCTTAGTCACCAAAAAAAAACAATCTTAGTTGGTTAGTAATATTCCTTTTAATGTCATTGTTTACTTCCATTATTTTTTGATTTTTTTTGTTTAGTGGATATTTACTGTTCTATATTTTTAGGCATTATGAGTCAGAATGTCTATATTTGTGAGGTGGAAACTCTTGAAGTTCAAAATAAGCCGGTTAAAAAGATTGAATTCGAACTTAGGGATGAAAGGTAAGTTGATATGTTCAAACTCCTTTTTAACACATATAACCTTTTACCTTTCATTCCTAAGTTCGAACTCCAAGCGTCAAAGGTAATGTTTTGCTAATCCTTTGATGCTTCTCAAATTCGTGTGAATCCTCAAATTCAATAGTTTGAGGTTGTATTCAATATTTCTGATATTTTTTCGAGGAAATTCAATCGTTTGAGGGTGTTTTTGAAGTTGTATTCAATATTTATGTGACCTAGATTTTCTGAACCAGATTTTGACCATCAAATGACTTACCCGGTTTTGGTGGTTTAGCCGGTTTTGACTCAATTTGGACTCAACTCGATGGGTGTATCTTGATTAGATCGGTCGGATCGCCTTGCCTGGTCTGGTCTTCAAAACACTGAGATTTGTAAACAAATTCAACTGAACCAATATCATAACTAAAAAGACTAAACATGAAATCAAATCAGATTTCTTGTAAACAAATATTATTTCTTTTGGGTGAAAAGTCATATAGTTTAAAAAGAAACCAAAAACTCTATGGGGATGCATGCATTAAACGTTCTATCAACCGGTGATCAGAAAAAATGTTCCTTCTTGTATAAGCCCTACGGCCGAAATCAAGCTGGCAGATTGAAGAACACCTTGGTGACATAGACAATTCCATTAACATCTCAAGTTTCTCTTCAGGATTTGTGGTTTTAGGGTAGAATGCTGCCATCTTTAAACCACCAGAGTTTCTTAAGATGAATCTTGCAACTTCGATCTCTTCTTCTTTTCCTTCGTATTGCAACCATTCAAAAGTTTCAAGACTTGACAATAGGCATCCCGGGACATGACTTGGTTCGCTCCAGCACGGTTGCGGATATATAGTCTCACCACTATGGACCTGAGACTCAAAATGGCAGATTAGTATTATAATTCTACTTGAAACCATCAAAGGATTTAGAAATCAGTTAGGTTAACTTAAGAGTAAATTTACCTGTTCTAGTCTTAGGATTCTTAATTTAGGGGAATCTTTGAGTAGACGTATTAGTAGATTCAACCACTCTGGTTCACATGTACATAGATGCAATCGTACAAGTCGACTAAATATTAGTCCTTCAGGATACCTGTGCATTCTACATAGGAGATATGATTAAAGAAAAGTTTAGTATAATGATAGAAAAAATTAATGTATAATGATAAAATCTTTTAAAGAAAAGTTTAGTCTATAGAGAAGAAGTAATAATAATTACCTTTGATGTCGCTAAACATAATCCAAGTTGCTTGATTGAAGTAAGAGAAGAAAGAATTTGCTCAGTATGACTACAAGTAACATAAACATTAGCCGCGACCATCATTTTCCATGTCTGTACGCAATCTTAACATCTCTAAAGAGGCCATTCTAACTATGAAATGGCCCGCATTATCACCCGGGCTTCGTTCTATGACCATAGTTTTAAGAACAGAACAACCAGATAAAAAGCAAGGGGACAAATTCCTCACTTGGGTACTTCAATGATAGAAGAGCCAGATTTTTGAGAGATGGGAAAGAAACCAATGAAAACGAATCCATAAGAACCACATTGTATAGCAACAAAGTCACAAGCGTTGAAGAACCAGTACACAACCTACTTGGAAGTACCACTAGAGCAGACCCAATAGAACAAGTATCACTCTCGATACATAGCTCACGCACACACGTTCAATACCGGTCCCAACACATACTTCAATATCTCTATAAGCATCACTCTTTTGACTAAATAGTTTGATATTCAAATTTCCTACAACCGGAGCCTTGTGTAATAGCAAAGATGTGTGAATAAACCGGTTTGATCCACCATCTTGACAATCATATTGAAGTCTTGGCACAAACATCCAAAGAAACTTCCATCGTTTAGACAAAACCATTGTTGTCACAACATCTTTTGTTTTTAATAATGACAATATTGCCAAGAGCAAACGCATCAGGCAATTCACTTAACCTATCCATATATGATTATGACCTCATACAAAATTTTCTTCCGCCTCCACATCATTAGCAAAGACTACTAATGCAGCAAAAGAACCTTGCCGGTGATTAGCAGAAGAATTGGGCCATAGGCCCATTCGATTGATTCCGGTATACTAATTCGGCCGACGTCGAATAAAAACCGGTTAATGATCCAACGGTTAAGAACAAAGGAAGGTGTAGATAAGATTCCGTAAGACCAACTGCAGAAGATAATTCCCCATGTATCAGTCGGTGAAATTAAAGAGGCATCTTCAGGCTCTCACGTTAAGTCTCTCTTTCGAGTTTTTTCTTCGGCTTTCCACTTTTTCCTCTGTTCGTGTCATTCTTGTCGTAGATCTCGAGAGAGAGTCTTAAGGTGAGAGAAACTTAAAAATCGATCCTTTTAGTCAAAGTTTGTATCTTTTGATTGTTTTGTTCCGACCCTTTTAAATTTTGTTCTCAGGAGGAAAAAAGGAAAAAAGGTTCGATTTTTATCGATGGGTTCTTCGTCAGGACAACCCGAATTTGATTACTTGTTTAAGGTTTTATTGATCGGAGATTCTGGTGTTGGAAAGAGTTCTCTTTTGTTGAGTTTCACATCTAATACGTTTGATGATCTTTCTCCAACAATTGGTGAGTTTGGATGAAATTGATTAAGCTTTATTACCGATCTGGTGTTTTGTTTTTGATGTTGGATTTGTTTTGTCTAGGTGTTGATTTTAAGGTTAAGTATCTGACAATTGGGGAAAAGAAACTCAAGCTTGCGATTTGGGATACAGGTGAGAGATCAACACTCTTGTTGTGTGTTGTTGATTGAAATTTATGTGAATGTCACATCTTGTGGTTTTAATTTAGATGTTTAGGGGAATCATTGAACAATCTAGAGTTTGAAATTGTCTTTTAAAAAAAAAATGGACCACAGTATGGAATATATAATGTTTTCTTTGTAATCTATTTGAGTGTTGTGTCTCAATCATTGTTGGCTAATCTCATATGTGTGACTTGTGAACAAATGATAAGAGTCTTGTATTTAGAATGGTTTAGATATTAGTCTATCCCCTTTAGAATAGTTGAGAGGTTAGTCTTGTATTTATTATAGTTTATAGATTAGGCAACAGTATTACTTACAATTATTTTAAGATTAGTCTTGTATCTAGAATAGTCTAGAGAATAGACTCTTGTAAATTTTCACTTGTTCTATTATCACCGATTAGTTTTTGGGTGTTTCTAATCACTTAGATGGTGGTCTCAATCACTGTTGGCTAAGTTCTTATGTGTGATTGGTTAACAAATAGGAGTCTTGTATTTACAATAGTATAGAGATTAGTATCTTGTGTTTAGAGTATATTAGAGATCAGTCTATCGCTGTTAGAATAGTTTAGAGATTGGTCTTGTGTTTAGAATATTTTAAAGGTTAGTCTTGTACTTAAAATAGTTTATGGATTAGGCAACGGTATTACTTATAATTATTTTAAAATTAGCCTTGTATCTAGAATATTTTAGAGATTAGACTCTTGTATTTAGTATAGTTTGAAATGAGTTTCTAGTTCGAATAGTAGTCTCTCTGTATAGAATAGTCTCTTGTAAATTTTCAGTTGTTCTGTTATCACTGATTCGTTTTTCGGTGGTTTTCTGATCACTCAGCTGGGCAAGAGAGATTTAGGACTCTAACAAGTTCGTATTACAGAGGAGCTCAGGGTATAATTATGGGTATTCCTCTCTCTTAATGAACAAAATGATTTGTTATCCTTGATCTAGTAAGCTACACTTTATTAAGGCTTTTGTTTTTCCTGAAAGTGACTTCTGGAATTCTTCATCTGTAGTATATGATGTGACACGACGAGATACATTCACAAACCTATCTGATATATGGGCTAAGGAAATCGACCTCTACTCGACCAATCAGGACTGCATCAAGATGCTTGTTGGGAATAAAGTTGATAAGGTAAGATTTTCTCTTCCTCCTCCATGTCAAGTGTCTATAATGTTCCAGCTTGATTGACTTAATATGATTTCTCCAGGAGAGTGAAAGAGCTGTCTCGAAAAAAGAAGGCATAGACTTTGCTCGGGAGTACGGATGTTTGTTTCTGGAATGTAGTGCAAAAACTCGGGTTAATGTGGAGCAATGTTTTGAAGAGCTTGTTCTTAAGGTAGTAAATTTGCACCTATCTTCTAGATTTTTGTTCTGAGGATATACGAGTATGTCTCAACCTTTTTTTATCTGCAGATATTGGAAACACCGAGTCTTACTGCTGAAGGTTCGTCTGGCGGGAAGAAGAACATCTTCAAACAAAACCCAGCACAAACCAGCAGTGCTTCGTCGAGCTACTGCTGCTCGTCTTAGACATGGCTTTACGGTTTATGACAAAATTACACTTGTGCTCATCATCTTGTTCTTGATTGTCTCTTTGCTTCCCAAAACCGCAGCATCTTGGATGTATATCTTAACCCTGATTTCAAAGTTGTGTTCCCTAGTTTCCAATCTGGGATTATTGCATCTTATAAAAAAGTTCGTTTTACCTGATCTGGCTGAAGGAATAACTGACCAGTAACATAGTTCAAAACCAAATCTTCTATGCATCATTACAGAAGAATGCATAATTTCGTCGGTATCTTTTCGCAGAACATAAGAGTTATAAGTAGCTAAAGAACTAAGGCGGATTAAGACATCATTTTTGAGATCCTATCTAAAAGATTCTCTGCTCTTTGAAAATCATTTCTTTCTGAAGTGTAGAATTCAGATTCATACATGCAATAACTGTTGCAGAGTAGCTCAAAAGCAAGAACGTGAGAAAAAACACCTACTACTTAAGTTTTGGTGTATATTTTTCTATCTCTTTTTCTCTTGCAACCTTAATCATACGAGGCACATTTTCTTCTGGTCTTAATCTTACACATCTCAAAGAAAGTTTACCGAATGCTTCCATTTGCAATCTTAGATTATCGTCACTCGCGTTGTTCAACAGCGATTGGTCTATCAGTTCGGTGAAGGAACCTCTCTCCAGGAACTTGCCAACATAATCAAGCAATGGGACACAAGCATCATCCAAAATGCATAGAAACTTTCCTGTCAAGAGAATTAGCTTGATGATTCCAAGGCCATAGACATCAACATTCCCAGTGACAAAACTTGTTCTGCAATAATCGGGCTCTATATAGCTGGTTGTCCCGCAAATTATGTAAGTTACACCTGATTCTCATTCTGGAATTGGTATGCTGAGGCAGAAACAAGACAATTTAGTGGTCCAATTCGTGTCCAAGAAAATATTTCTAAGCTTTAAATCCCTATGGATTATGGTCCTAGGGAATTCAGTATGAATATAAGTTACAGCATTCGCAATCTCTTTAGCGATCTTCAATCTTAAACTCCAAGGAAATGGTTCGACACCTTCCCCTGCATGTCCTATACCGGTAAGATTTCCATTTTAAGCGTATTCGAAATCAAGAACCGGATGAGGAAACTCTAGACAACACCCCAAGAGCTTTAGAACGTTTTTGTGACCATTCATCAAAGATGAAACCGCGATATCACGAAATAAATTGTCAGGGTCATAGATCTTGCCTTGACATACTTTTATCAGCACGCTTCTGTTTTCAATCATACCTTTGTACCACACAAATCTGTTTACAGCGATCATATAAGTCCAGTCGAAGTTATTTGTAGCTTGGTTGGATGAAATGAGTTCCTCCTACAATAAGCTCCCATTCTCTTGGAAAAGAATCTCCTCTTCTTTCTTCTCTCTCGTCTCCTTCTTCTTCGACCTCAAGAAATTCAAACAAGACATCTCTTAACTCAGAGAATTGTTGTAAAGATGTTTTTGCAAACAAGAGACGCAAGAAAGAAAGAGATGGACGCAAACGCAAGTCGAAAAGTCAACAAAGTGAAAACAAAAAAAGTCAATGAAGCAAAAGAGTCAAAAAAGGGGTTTTAGGTGGTATGGAAGGTGGGCTATAAAGTGTTGATGGGCTCAACAAGGGAGAAGGAAGTCTGGCCAGTGTGGTGGCAGTTTGGTAATTGATCAAAACACCATAAACAACTAAAATGTTCCTTGCAGATCGAGTAACAAAGTAAACAGAATATGAAAAGTCTAAAATTCCTAGAAGTTTCTTATGAACCTTAATCGAGCAAGCATGGAAGTTGAACAGTTTTGTTCCTAATCACGCAATCAAGTACATATTTTAATAGTTCAGAACGTGATCGAAACAATTTAACTAGTTTCATACAAATCGGATCAGTATTCAAGCCTAGAACGATGAAACAAATTCACGAGAACAGATTAGAAGTTGAAAAGTTTAGATAGATACAACCTGGCACGAAGTGGCTCTGATACCAATTAATATGAACCTGGTTAGAGATCAGTCCCTTGATGCACTTCGTGTGGTTGAATGCAAATAGTTTGCGGAATAACTGTTTTGGAGTGGTGGTGATCGAGTATATGATCAAGTATGGTGATGTGATCGAGTAGACGGTGTGATCGAGTAGATGGTGTGATCGAGTAGGAGAATGATTCGGTGAAGGTGTGATTGAGTAGATGGTGTGATCGAGTAGGTGAATGATTCGGGGAAGGTGTGATCGAGTAGATGAGTGGTGTGATCGAGTATGGTGATAAATCGGTGATGAAGAGATCGAGTAGGTGATGATGCGGTCGAGTAGAAGATGAAACGGATCGAGTATGACGTTGGTGATCGAATAGATTGATGCGAGATCGAGTAGAATGGTGAATCAGTGAAGCTGAATGGTTTGAATGGCTTGTGATCGAGTAAGTGATGGATATGAATGGATCGAGTGATGTAAGTGATATTGAGCAAGTGATGAGGTGGTGATGGTTTGATCAGATTGAATGATTAAATGAATGATGAGATCGAGTAAAAATGATGAGGGATCGAGTAGAACTTCCAAAGGCTACGAATTCCTTTGAACTTCTGAGCTTGATCCTGCTTGGATATGACACACCAAGAGCATTCACAAGTTGAGAAAGGATATGACACACCAATCTCGTGATCAAACAGAATTAGAAAGGGATTTTGATAAGAGAAAGTTTGATAATCGTTTACAAAGGAGAAGAAGAGATTATAAAGAACTCTAGAGGTCTAGGGAGATGAAGAGTTATCCTAGGGAAAGAAAAACGACATTAAACACACAAGACTGAATTCAAACGAAATGGGCTTCTCCTTGGTAATGGGCTGCGAGACAACAATGGGCTCGAGTAAAGTGTGTGTGGGCTTGCCTCGTTAAAAACATCTCTTGGAAAGCCCATTGGCACAAAACCAAGAGGAGGAAAAAAGAGTGCAAATCACACACCTCCATTTTTGTCGCTTGAATGGCTTGAATTACAACCAATGCTGTTGGACAAGCATCTTGTTCAAGGCTGCCATCAATCTGTTAAAGAAGTGTGATGGTAGCTTGATTTAATAGCTTCATCTTTGATCTTGTCATTGGTCCAGTAGCAACATGCAATGCCATATCCTCTTTAACTCCAAGTTCTTCATCTTTGATATGTCTATAATTTGCATGTTTTACACATCCATTTATCACCACTTTGAGTCTAGTTTCATTCATCTTCCATAGCATTCATCATCATTTTGTACATTTTGCATGTTTAAGTGTGTCTAGCATTAGTCTTGCATGCATTTTGCATTATGGAGTTGTTTCAGGTGTTTCGGAGCTATTGGTGTTCAGAAAGAGGAAAAACAGAGCTGAAAGTCACATTTGGACCCTTATACTCGATCACTAGTAGCAGAGAGGGAAGCAGTCAGCTCAGCAGACCATCAGGACCCTTATACTCGATCACAGGGCAGTCCAGCCAGACTGTTCTACTCGATCGCAGAGGAAGAGGAGCAGTCCATCCTGCCAGTTCACTGTTATACTCGATCGCAAGGTTGAAGAAGCAGTCCGTCCTGACAGTCTACCCACATACTCGATCACAAGAGAGAAGAAGCAGTCCAGACCACACCACCACCCATTCTACTCGATCACCACCTCGACCCTCTGATCAATCCGCACTCAACCAGACAACCTGAGCATAGGAAAGAGAAGAGGATAGAAGGAACCACTTGATCGCGGCTTCGATTCACGCTCGACCATGAAGCCCACTTTGAGCCCATATACTCGACCTCCACGTTCAAATGGGCCTGTTAAGCGGACTCGAAGCCCACTTACTTATCCTTGTCGTTTTTGCTATAAATAAGTCTCTAAGGGTTTCCCCTGAGACATTCACTTTTTCATCGACTACTTTATTATTTTACGTTTTAGTCTCGAACCCTAGTATTGTTTTAGTAGCCGCTTTTGCTTCTGCAACTTTGTATTTTTCGTTTTTCTAAGTTATTGAGATTCTGCTTTCATTCTCTTGTTGATTTCCGTTTCATTTCCTTTAATCTTTGAAGTTATGCAATCATCAATCGTTTCTGTGTCTTTGAGCATGTTGTCTGAGTAGTGACTAGGATTTCTGAGGATGGGATAGAGTAGTTGTGAGACCCATGGTCGAATCTGATGGTTAAGTGTAGTTATATTGAATCCCTTCTGGATTAGTTGTGTTTACTGCTTATTCCTTTCTGATCAACTGGAATTCGATCCCAGACATTCCAGCGCTCATGAGGCGTTTAATGGATTGTTGGATCTACTAATTCCAGTGATAATCGTCACTATCCCAAGGGATTGGCCGTTTAGAGCGGTTATTGACTTTAACAGTCGGTTCTTATTGCCTGCATAGTTAGATTCCGTTAATGGGAATTAGTCTGGGCTAGCTTTGCTTGAGGATTTGTTGCACGGGAGTGAATAAGTCTGTTGTTGAACCTGTTGTCTAGGGATAGCTTCATTGAGAATTGTTAACCATCAGAATTGATTATGGAGTCCACACTATTCGATTACCCCATCCTTAGGAGTTTCTTATCTAATTGATTTATCTGTTTACTTACCTGCTGCATTCATCTTCTCTGTTACTTGCTATTGAATTTTGATAACTGTCTGTTTTCGGACCCTTTTACTCTATCACATCCTCCTTCTGGCAGTGAGCCTTGTGATAGAGTATAGCAGTCCATTTATGCAAATTTACTGTTTTCTGCAATCAATTACTAGGACTGTTAGAACAACAACTGAATTCTACTTGGCTTGACTTAGTGCTTTCTGATCATATCTCATTTGTTTGCAACACACCTGATTGGATTGACACCTAAAATACTACAACGACAGGATAGTGTTTTAGGATTAATTGATCTTAAAAATCTATTATCAATCTTCATGCTCTTTAGCTCCATACTCGATCGAGTGTTCCTTTGGTGCAATGTGGTCGAGTAGGACTTCTCCATGAGGGTCGAGCATGTCTTCAAGCTGGTGGTCGAGCATGTCTTCAAGCTGACCCTTAGTTCCATGTCCTAAGCTTCCCATTATCATATCTCTAACTTCTCACCTTAATATCGTATTGACTCTTATTATGACTCTTATTATGATGACTCTAATCCCTTCTTACTAGCCTAATCAATGGTTTGTAATAATAACTCAACGTCATGTATGAAGACATATT